GCTTGCCGTCTGCATGCAGATGTGTAGAATTTGGCGGACTGTCTCACGAAGTGAGATGGTGCTGCCGTGCCTAGGCGATGTGGACCTGTACCGTTTTTGAAGTTGGGTCCTTTAGCTCCCGCTTAAAACGCCTGAAAATGTTTAAGGCCATGCCTGTGGCAGTCTCCAATCTGAGGATACGCCAGCTCATCTTCCACAGAATTTCACTCATTCAATGACCCGAATTTTAGGCCGCATCGGACTCGATTTTTCGGCTAGCTTCAGATGAGGTGAAGTGCTGTCCAGTGTGTTGGCCAAATGGCTGCTTTCCAGGAATGCTGGCATCCCTGGTCAGAATATGCATGGCCGAATGAAACTTGTATATGTATATCAACACAAATATACATATCTACATATATACATACATACATGCATCCATGCATACATACCACCTAAAAACATACATAAATAAATACGTACGTACATACATACAGACATACGTACAACCATACGTACATACATACATACATACATGCATGCATACATACATACATACATACATACAAGGTGGGAGCCAAAATACATACATACATACATACATACATCCGTGCATACATACGTACATACATACATACATACATACACATACATACACATATACGTAAAAATAAACATATTCACATACATACACATACATACGTGCGTACGTACGTACGTATGTACATACGTACATATATATATATACACATATTTATTTATATTTATTTATACAGACATACATACGTACATACAATATACATACATACATACATACATACATACATACATACATACATACACACATACATACATACATACATACATGACACGACATACCTACATGAATGAAGACATGCATCCTTTGCATGCATCGGTACACCGGTGTGTGTGATCATTTCATATATATATACATATGTGTATATATATATATACATATGTATGCACATATATATATATGTATATATATATATAGATATCGATGTGTCCACATGCATAAGTACATGCATACATGCATGCATGCATACACTACATCCTTGTATATGCTCTACATACTTGATAACTACATTGATGTATGCACATAAACAAGCATGAACATGTGTGTGCGTGTGTGTGCGTGCATATATATATATACACATACATACACGTATGGGGTGTATTTATCGCCGTGCTGTTGCTTATCCAGACTCAGATGATGTGAAGGCTCCTGTTGTGATGAGGGTGTTCGAAATTCTGCCACCGTTTGCTTGGACCTGCTCACGTTTCGAAGTGCTAGCGTTAAACTCACCCTAAGCACTAAAACCCTAAAGCCCGAAGCCTGCAGGGGGGAGTGCCTCGTGGGTCCAGTTACCCAGAAACTGAGGCTTTAGGTCCTTCCTCACACCACACTCGACCCGGGTCCTTCAATAACTATCCCCAGCCCGAGTGCCGAACTCGTTTTGTTGAGGACCTGAAGCCACTCACATGGTGAGAAGGTACTTCCAGGGGAGAGTTTATGCTTCGAAGGGTCAAGCTCCGTTGTTGATTAGGCCACTGGGGCTTTCGGATTCGGGTAGTGGCGTGGGGGCCTTCTTGTAAGTAGGCATGCAATAGGCGGATAGATGTGGTCATCTTTTTGCAAGAGTCATTGCCTTTGTATTGGCCCGAATAAGTACCTTCAATTTTTTTCATAGGCGTCCACAATGCGCTGTACAATCTACTGTTTCTCTACCTGCGCTTCGTTGAAGTCAATATTCTGTAGAAAGATTATTGCCGTTAGAGTGGCTTTAAGAGTTAGAACCTAGATTTGAGGACATTCTGTAGTATACTGTAAGTGAATAGGGACCACAAAGGGATACTCACCTCGACTATCCAGACCTCTATGTGAGAGTGCTTCTGCCGAGCTTGGAGGGTGTTTTCTGAAGCAGATTCTCCCACACGAGAAAGACCTTCTCCCCTATGCCCATGCAAGAGCACGATGTTTTATTTGCAGAGTTTTCTGGTTCGGCATCTTTGTTGTTGCTTCCTACCGGCTCTGCACGGCAAACACGACAAGGACCCGAAATCCGCCCTGTCCTCCCACAAAGTCGGCTCTCACACTGCGCATCCCACAGATTTCGGATCCTTTCACGAGAACCCAAGACGCTAAGACAAAGATGCTGCGCAAAAGACGTGAAACAAAAGCCGGCTCTGAAAACTTGGACACTCCATAGTGCAAACGGTGATATAGTATAGCACAATGTTACATAATGTAGTATGATATAATCTTGACCACGCACTGTTATGTCTCAAGCAGGCACATCGACACACAGACACAAACACAAACAGAGGCATTTGCGAATGTCAACATGTCTATGTCTAGTACAACAGCAATTCATGTATGAAATGTATGCATGTCTGACTGTAATGTATGGACACACACGCAGCGTGATCGTCATGCTTCGCACATCTTGGAAGTAAATCATAGCATTGTCTTGTGTGGTTCTAACCATCACTTTCTCGAATGTTTTTTTTACTTCCACTATCAACATGCGATCTGCGCCTCAATGCAACACAGCATGCTACGAAGGCCGGTTCAGCTTCACAAAGGGAAGCCACAGTCGGTGCTACTGTTCAGACAGTCACCCAAAGAACGTAGATGTCGCAGCTGCTGTGGGTGCAACTCCACTGGCTTCTAGGGGCACATGCAACCCCTTAAGGCCCTCAACCCTGACAGCAAGGAGAGTGTTTGTTGCATCCTTGTGCAGTGTTCGTGTATGGGGTGTAATGTGCTGTAACCTGATTTAGTTTAACGTATCTATGCATCTATGTACGCTGAACTAGATGGATTGACAGATACTGTAGATAGAGACAGGTAGTCAGGCAGATAGACCGAGCGATAGGTAGGCAGACATGTAGGTAAACAGCCAGACAGATAGTAAACATGTTTGATTGATCATGTCTGTGTGGCAGTGGAGTGTAGTGCCCGTACTGTACTGCATATGTGACGCGATGCCAATGTAATGCAATCTGAAGCAATGCAGGCGTAGATGTAGCGGACTGCAATGATACGTCTGATGTCATGCATTTTGTTGCATTACGCTGCGCTTTGCTGCTAAGTCACACGTTTCGTTGTTCTTTTAATACTATGCTATGTTATGTTGCGAGGCGCTATGCAACGACATGCTATGTTGTGCTGTGCAATCCTTGGTTTTGCTATGGTACGTATTCACGTATCGTGTTATGCTTTGTCATGATATGTATGCACGCATAGACTCCTGCACACACGAATGCAGTTATGTAGACATGTGCGCTCCTACGTAATATGCATAACAGAAAACTTAGCGGAGACGCGGTGAATCACACCAACGCACGCACGTCGTGACACCCGTGCCACCCGCCCATACTGTACCTACCAAACCACCTCACAAGCGCATGGAGAGTTAGTTCCAGTCGCCGATTCAAGCAGCAGGGAGTTCTACAAAGTCTACTTCATTCTAGACTCATCATGTGTTTGCATGCTGCCAACGCAGGCAAATTTGAAGTTGATGCTGGAAGCCCGGGAGGCATTCGCTTGTACAGCTCAGCACTAGGTATGAGATTACCGGAGGTTCTCATAAGCGGACGATATTGGATGAACCGAATCATTCTTGGAAGTTGTCGCATTTGCTACTGTAGTCAGGTTCGCTTCGTCTTCAAGCGGCTGTAAAGGAAAAACTTGGCCAACAGAAACTGTCGGGACAGGTCACCTGAAGGAAAGGTCCCAAATTCTCCTTACTGAAGGAGGCCACTGGACGATCTTAGCTTTGGTCATACTCCCGGACTTCAATCGCACATTGAAGTGTTTGGATGCATACGTCTCAATCCATGAGTCAACAAACCACGTTCTTGTAAGCATTCCTGTGAGTCCATGTCGTGGAATGCAAGACCTGTTCATTGACATTTTGTTGTGGGTCACCTTGCTGTATTTGTTTGAGTCACCCTGCCGTAGTTGTTTGAGCTATTGCTTTGCGGCTTTGCGTGAGACATGCGCGCGCACACACACACACACACAGAGCGTCGCACATTCGGCTATGCATTGCGTACAACAGCCCGCACTTGCGCTCTATGGCACAGGCGACCACAGAGAAAGAGGCCGTGCAAGCCTCAGCTGAACCCCGATGAATTCTGGAGCCGGGACGAGGGCAGAATCGCTGCTTCTGGAAGGTTTCCTAGTGAATCAAGCGGATTCGGAGTGGCACCGTGGCACCTTTCGGGCTTGCAACTGGAGCATTTACAAAGAGATGCTGCGCTGGAGGGTAGAGGCTTTCACACCACCTGACATATACACACATATACACACAAATGAGTAAATAAATAAGCATTATATATATATATAATATCTGCACACACACACACATACACATTTCTTTGGGTCTGGTGAAACACGTTTCTGTTGCCGGGTCAGAAGCATGCACAGCGAGCAGGCTGGCTTCGGTGTCCAGCTTGGAGGATTCACACGGGACTTGCCGAATATGAGGGGTACCTTATTTTGGGGTCCTTATACTTAGGATCCTACTATTTAGGGTACTATATTAGGGGCCCCCTATTTTCGGTAAACCCCCATATGCTCTTTGCCGCACAGTTGGCTCCGCATGCTGATAGCAGAGACACCTGGCCCCAGTTTGCCTACGAGACGCGCGTATTCAATTGTTTGTGGGCATCAGCACCTGCGACACAGGTGTGGAAGCACTACATGCACACAAAAACACACAAACGCCATGGATGCATATGCACATAGATGCAGCTGTTTAGTTTAACCTCTGTGATACGGTGCAAACCCGACTACCCCCCTCCCCCCCCAGTCCTTGAGAAGGGTTGCCTTCAAAGCCAAGGTTACAGCAAACCAATATAAACACAATGTAGCCTCCGAGCCAGCAGCGCCAGATATATTGATACTCCGAGAGACAGTGCACATCCCGCGCTGCGTCCCCAATGGTCGAAGAGACCGTGCCGCTTCCTGCGGCAATCCGCTGAGCTGTCGGTGAATGATGGCAACTGGGCGGGTTCCAGGGCTTGGGCCTGGGCTCGTGGAGGCTGCCAAAAAACCGGTACTCTAAAGCATAAACATCAATTTCAGATTCTCCACCCCCTAGTTTCTTAGTCTAGGGAGGTGAGATGAGGTTAGGCTTCAACGGTGGTCCCCTGGATCTCCTGACAAGTCTTATGCTATGTCTCGTCGGGTCGTGCTTCAAAACCAGATTATGCCGTCTTTACCGGGCCTTGTCTGAGAGCAAAGCATTTAGGCAGTGCTGTTAGGGGGGTGGAGCGATACAGAACTCTTACCATGATTGGGGCAAGCCATGGTCAACATGCCCGAGCACGAAGCCTCTTCAGCCTCACTAGCGCAGCATAGATGGAAGAAGCAGAAGTCCCAAACCGAAGACTGGGGCACCTCTGCGAGGCCTTGGTGAGTTTGTCCATTGGCCTCGTGCTTGGCGCAGTGTTTGGGTTTCTCTTCGGCCGCTGCTCCTCGCGGAATGATGAGGATAGAGAAAAGGTGGGCCCACGCAAAGCAGAGAGGAGAGGGAGGGATCCCAAATACTGCACGCTGGGTGAATAGTCAGGGAGGGAGCAGGAAGGGTGAAGTCTGAAGAAGCAGAGGGGGAGTACTGAGTAGTTAAATTCTATGGGGTTGCGATAGTGACCAGCATGGTTCTATCAGTGTTTCTGGATTACCATCAGAGTCCTGGCAGGTTTGGGTTTTCGGGCCAGCTTTGCATTCACGGGCACTTTCTGAATCCTTTCTCAGATGAACACGAGCACATCGAGGACACAGGCACGCAGACCCCGAAGTCAAGAACAAGATGCCAGCCATTGTAACCATGCTTAGCTGTTTGGTCGGGAGCTTGAAAATTACACATCAACAACCGGTGCCGACTAGGGCCCAGCGGCGCCATGTTTTGCTGGCACAATGCTGCCGCCGTTTTTATGTGCATAAACAAAGTCCAAGACCCCTTGCCTGTTGATTCTCGGAGAACGCCGTCGAAGTAATGAGCAATCTGTCGCACCATTGTTTGTAAACCCTAATTAAACCCTAAACCCATTGCAGGGCAAGCGGCGAAAAGACTCTTGCGCATCTCAGGAGAAACGGGATGGGACGCGTGGGAGGGCTCATTCACGATTTTGTCGTCGTGCCAAGCTAGGAGAAACCCAGCTGGATAGGAACTCGCAACCCATTTGATAGCCTTTCGGGATTTAATATGTATGTATATACATAAGAACTATACCTATATATATATATATGACATGACTCATTTATTTGAATATGAAATAATTAGCAGGCCAGGTCAACCTTTTTTTTACTTATCCGCCAGGCATCCAGACTTTTGGTAACAGAAGAGGTGTCGATGGTTTCATCTCAAGACTCGGGACACCTAGCGACATGCGTGTGAGGCCGGAGACTAGACGAACATGAGCTCAGTTGCGAACTTGGTTTCTCTATGAACATGCCCCCACAAGCAGGTCTGAGCATCCCTTTTGCAGCTCTATACCCTACAAAAACCGAGCGTTCCCAGCTGCTAGAGACCAAAACTCGAGCCCAGTCTGCTGTTTTGACCCCCGATTTGCGACAACCACCCAGACTACCCCGCACCTCTATCATGGGGCAGGTGCAGTGTAAGCCATGCTACGCGTTCGTCACGAACTCTACAGGCATTCTATGGGGTCAGCGAAAACATTCCGAAAATAACATTCCAGTTAAAGGGCTGCTGTTTTTGTCCGTACCAACAGCAGCAGCTGCTGCTGCTGCAGCTACTGCTACCACTGCAGTAGTGGAGCTGCCAAATCTGATGAACCCTGCCGCTCACTTTGATTGCCAAGATGGACAAACTCATTCGGCCCGGTTTGGCTGATCGCCTTTCGGAAGACTACAAGCCTGCAAACCTCTCCTGCATGAAACTCGTTGCATGGGAGGTTCAGAAGATATGGAAGAGAACCGGAGCTAGGTGAGTTCTGTGATTATGTCGTATGTGTACTGGTGTAGTTTCAGATCGTTGCCGACGCATGCATGGATACTGGTCGAGAACAAGAGCCGCAAAGAGGCTCCTAAATATTTGGTTCCCTTACAAGGGTAGCCTACTTTGCAGAAACTGCCATGGATTCTGCCGGTTCTATAAGGGTACCCATGACCCCACCACGTAAGTTGCTGGGCTTTTGGAGTTTGCAAGGAGGCCTTTTATTTACCAACGTGATTCTATTACCTTGTCCAGTCTTTGCGGTTCATGGCGCAGGGCCATTATCTGGAGCTCTTAGACAAGAATGTTCTGGCAACATCAAACTCAAACCGAGATGAACCCTTCCACAAAGAATTTGTCTGTCCCCTGCTAGCTGACTCAATTGCACGGGAGGAGGAACCCTAAACCCCTTCAGATCCTCTAAACCATGCGTGAAACCTACAACCCCAGAATGATTCACCGTGAACTCTGCCCGTGGCTTGTTCCCGCAAGGACCGCGATGTGATTCTGGAGATCGTGGCTGCGTCAGCATTCAGTTCAGTGGCATTGGCCCGGGACTTCCTGCGCATGAAGATCCCAGGTTTGGGTGAAGCCACAGAAACTTCTGCAGCGAGCATGTGCGGCAGCCGGAAGCGGATGTCATAAGCACGCAGGTTGGGCTTCAGTCTTATAACCTGTACTACTATTGAAAGACGTCCCGGGAAAGAGCAAGAGATACTGTAACAGCATCCTGCCGCCCTACAAAAACCTAGAGCTTGGGAACCATTTGCTGCTCCAGTCCGTCTATGGCATGTGGGCCGACGACCTGCCCCTAAAGTAGGACGCGCTTAGCGTGGCAGATACTGGTTGGGGGCTGCTCGGGGCTGCAGTCTGTACTCGATGGGCCTGATGTAGGGGCCCAGAAACTTAGACTAGCTAAGGTTGTTGGGGTGCATCATAGTGTGTGAAGGGACTGTGGGGGTCGGTTTACAAATTTCATGCTGGGCTGCATTCACGACCGTGTGCAACAGCCCAAAGATTGAAAATTGAAATAGATTCATAGATTATACTGATTGTACGGAGTACAGCATTATGCTGTTGTCTGCAGTCTGCAGTCGTTACGCCTGGGAGGGATCGGTGGAGTATGGGTTCCACGGGTTAGGGTGGGGGGTCTCGGATGGAGAAACGGTTGGTTGGGATCTCGATTCACGACTATTGCACTCTGCTTGAGTGGAAACTTGTCCCTGCTGAGGAGAGGCGAATGTCTCAGGACGGGCGACAGCTGCAGCAGTGGTAGTAGCAGTGGTGGTAGTGGTAGTGGTGGTGGTAGTGGTAGTGGTGGTGGTGGTGGTGGTGGTGTTGGTGGTGGTGGTGGTGGTTGCAGGCGCAGAGGCATAGGCACTGGAGTAGGAGTAGGATATCGAGCAGGAGTTGGTAATGACAGTGGTGGTGGTAGTAGTGGTTGTGGCGGCAGCTCTGGCTGTTCTGCAGCAGCAGCTGCAGTCATGGTTGTTACGCAGTTATGCAGCCTTAGCGAAACACGTGCAAGGCTGCAACGAACGACCTAAATTTTGCTTGTAGGTGCTTTGTTTCTGTCCTGCCTTTGCCTTCCGTCCCCACCATGAGGCCAGCAAGCATTTTGCAGGATTCCCAACCTTGCCGATTGTGTTGGAAGTGTTTTGGACGTGGCTCGTGGATGCTCGAGGTGGTCTGATTCTGCCTACTACTGGGTTAATTATTTGTATTTCATCCTGAACTTGAGTTTTGACTTGACCTACAATTTTCTTGGATCCGATGTCCAGCTTTCCGAGAGGTGAATACTTTCAGCCTGTGCAGGAGGGGATCCACTTTGCCCGGCAAGTGACTGGAGGTTCCTGCACGAGAGGGCTTTGTGAGCTTGACACTGCGAGCTGCATGCCCGTCTGGGGAGTAAGTCAGCATCAACCACGTGCTAGAGCTCGGGTTCCTAAATCCTAAACCCTAAGAACCTGAGATGAGAGTGCAGAGGAGACAGGCCTGTTTCGTGATTTGTCCTTGCCAAAGCCATCCGAACTTGCCAGCCGTGACTTCGCACGCATGGCATTTCGGGCACGGACGGCTAGACCAAGAAATGACAACCATGTCAGTGTAGTCTGGGCAATCAGCACATAAATCAGGTTCAGCCGGCGAGCTTGATGGTAATTGTAGTGTTGATGACGTTTTTGCGATGCTGCTGGTGATGTTGTGGATGAGGCGGTGTTCGTCATGTTGATGTCGACGAGGAAGATGATTATGTTTGTCGCGTTGATGGTGGTTTAGTTCTATTTATGACTACCATGACGTGAGTAATGCTGCTGATAGTGGAGAAAACAATCGTACCGCTGATGATACTGACCCTGGTCATGAACCATGGTGATGCTGTGTTCTCTCGGAAGTATGCTTGTCCCAAGTGTTAATTCTTGTGTAAACGAGGACAAGTCGTGCTATGCGTTCTGCAGTATACTTATTGTGATCGTACCGGTAATGCTGCTACATCCCGAACTGTCCCAAACCCTATACGGTAAAGACTGCGCATCAGCCGAGGCTCGCCGCCAAGGTCACCGACGGCCGCTGGGCTGTTTTCAGATCTCATCCGGTATGGTAGGCTACTCAACTATTGAACCAGTAAAGGCAGGTCAAGTTATGGATTTCAATGGTAGAATCGCAGAAGTATAGTATGCGTGAAAAGGCGACCAATCTAGACACGGACACGCAGGCCGAGGTACGTAGTGATAGACGCTTCTGCTCTCTCATGCAAGTGAAAACGTGGGCACGCACAGCCATGCTTTTGAACTTGCTTCTGTCACCTGGAGGCACACTCTAAGGGTTTCGGTGCGTATTGGCGTAATGCCATTGTTCACAAGAAATTGCAACAGTTGTGATGTGCACTCGATCGGGGCGCGGAGGCAACGGGCAGTGTAGAGGCCTTGTTTCATTTAGAATATCGTTTCGGAGAACCTCTTGATCTGTTTATGTATGGACTTTAGAGGGATATGGTTGGAAAGTATTCCGGCCCCTATGTTGCAATAAGAGGCTTCTCTTTGCACGTTTCGGCGAAATAATTCATGACAGGCTCTTGTGTCACGAAGATGTGTCCGGGAAGTCAAAGTTGTCATCGTCGAACACAAGCAGATATCTGTGCCCAAATCACGGAAAGTCTGGAATGTCAAGCACGGGTTACCGTGGCTTTGCATGTGTTTTGATTCTGTCTTGCTGGATAGTATCTCAAGGGGATGTATAGGGTTCTTTGCGCTTGAGGCGTGCTGAAGTTCCGTCTACAGCATGCCTGGGTTCTATTAAGTTCCGAGTTTGGTTGCCGATGGTTCATACGAATATAGCAATTTGAGCCCTAAACTTTCAAAGGCCTAAACCTTAAACCGTAACAAATGTAACAGGCACTGTCTCAGTCTATGTATGTATGTATGTATGTATGTATGTATGTATGTGAGTATATCTATATATATATATTTATATTTGTACACAGCTCAAAAGGCAACGAACCGGCTTCCCTTCATTGGGCTCTGACTTTGACTGTTGATCGTCTACTCCGTAAGCTGCAATCCGAAATCGAAAAATATAGGGGCCTTAATACTTACCTATGCTATTTTGGGGACTTCTTATTAAAATGATAGTACAATATACCCCAAAACCCCATTCTCAAGCTCCTTTCTCCTTCAGGGTTTAGGGTGCTGACCCTGAACTCCTGTCTGAAGCGTCCTTTTGCATCTAGGTACCTGGGGTTCATGCATTCAGTGCCAGCTTGCCACCATCCCTTGCGCTGGGCTTGCGTCTAAACCCATAGTAGTCCTCTGCATGTACTTGAAGGCCAAGGTATATACTATACCCTACACCCTGAAGCCTAAACCCTAGACTCTACGCCCTAGACCCTAAACTATAGGTGCATGGAGCCCTAGGGAGCAGATGTGTCGGAAAAAAACTGCCGAAGCGATCTGAGTTCCGCGGCAACGGGCGGCTGCGTGATGGGGAGCCTTCGCTGACATGATATTGAGCAATGCTGTCAGAGCGCTGTGTGCTGTATTCTTGAACTCCGATAATAGTACCCTTAGAGTGGTCCTGATTGTAGGAACTGTCGCTTGCTCATTTACAGTCTCACACTTGATAATATAGAGGCCCAGGGGGCCTACATAATTACAAATACTATTTTGGGAGTTCTAATTATTACGACCCCTATGTTTCTTGTAGGGCATGAGCAACCCTTATGATGATCTGGGAGAGTGAAACCCCGCTCGGCCGCTTGGAAGCTTCAACCCCGCGCCAGAGACCTTCACAGGGTTTAGGGTTTATAGGGTTTCGGACTTAGGGTTTGGGATTTAGGGATTAGGATATAGGGTTTAGAATTTAGGGGTTAGGGTCTATGTCCTGGTTGAGTCGCTGCAAAGCAGATGCAAAAAAGGGTCTCAGACGTCCTAAACTGTCCTATACCCCGGTAGATTCCCCCTAAATCCTAACCGGACGCTGGACCGCGAAGCTGTACTGAGGGCTGAGCAGTTGTGAAGCGACAGACGCATCAGAGAAAGCTGGGATGAGGGAAAAGCGAGGGAAAGGTAGAATTTCAATCACTTGTCCTCAGGTTTCTTCCATATACTATACGTAGCATACCCCCAACGCCCTGTTCTTATTATTAAGGCGCATTGTGTTTGTTTGGCGTGTGGGCGTGCAGCCGATAGCAGTTTTGTGTGCGGTATGACCCGCAGCCCCGCTTCTGGCATTGGCGTGTTATGTCAATCTTGCCTGCGCATACTGCGACTTCTCATGAAGCCTTGCCTCCACCCTAAACCCTAAACCTTGCTAAGTGGGAGGGAAAAAACCCTAAAACCCTAAAGCCCTAAACCCTAAACCCTACTATCCAAGAGCACCCCGAAGTCAGTCCTTGCGGTCAGTTTCTCCTTCAGGCCTTGCCTGGACTTGCCCGAGTGTAAGCGTCAGCATACCCTAAACTTGTCTTACAGAAAGCCGCGAAATACCCCCCGCTCCCCACCCCCCCTAAAACAAAAAGAAAGCGAGTGCAAGAGCCAAAGAAAACCCCAAAACACCCATAACCGAAGCCCCCCTCCAAGAGCCAAAGAAAACCCCAAAATACTAAGGACACCAGCGTCTCCTCCTACTCCTCGGATGGTGAGCTGGGTACCGTCTACGGCCTCGGAGGGCATCTCGGTCCTTAAAGGGGCTCGTTTCAGACCTCCCTCAGGGCTTTAGATGGGTTGCAGGTTTTTTTGGTTTGATGCTTTGGTTTAGGGTTTGGGTTTAGGATTTAGCAGTCCTCCAGATGCAGATTTTGGCAAGGGGTCCACCAGAGAGTTTTCAACTCTGAACCGTAGGCCGTCATGTGTCACGGCCGGTGGCCCCGTGAGTCCAGACGTCGAGAGGGCCGTGCCTTTGGGTTTTAGGTTCTTGCAGAGGGAGCTTCATCAAAGCGATATCCTGATGATTTAGGGGTTCTTGTAAGGATCCAACTGTTAAAGGCTTGTCTATGTAAGCATTCCTTCTTTTCTGTCGGCCACGGGCGAATAAGCAGCGCGGTCAGGGAGATCGGGTTTAGGGTGTCGGTGACGATGTGAAGAACGGATGTATGACGAGGCTGGTCAAGATTGGCATCGTCAGCGTTTGTATTTGTATGGTTATTCTGATGGCGTTTGGAAGGACGGTGGCGGTGCCAGTCATCCCCGTGATGACACTGACAGTGATAGCGGTGGTGCTTTGCAATGTTTGAGTTAATTTGAGAGTGTAGTGTTGTTGTTTGCGTTGCAGGTTTTATCTGGTGGTGCCTTTCAACTGGGTCCTGTTCACCACACAAGGCTATGTAAACGGTCAAGATGGGCATGATGCAAGCTCGCAAGAAGTCTCGTGCTGGCCATGGTGAAACCGCGGTCTTGCCACTTGTGCTTCTTGTTTTTGTTTGTTGTTGTTGTTGCTACTGCTGCTGCTGTTTTTGTTGTTCGGTGTGTGCTGCATGGTTTTTGTTGTCTTCGTGGTCGTCTTGGTGTTTGCTGTTGCTGTTGCTGATGATGAAGATGCTCAAAAAGTAAGAGAACAAAGCTGATCACACTTCCGGGCGATGGGACAAGATGCGCTCGTGATTGTGCAGGTTGAGGGGTCATCGTCATCATCATCATCACTGTCAATACTTAACAGACTTACTAGCACCGTCTCCACGACCTTAAGAACGGTGATGCATGGAAACTGTTGACCACATTGGCTGCGCACGTTCCAAGAGAAACACCCGATGCAGCAGGTATAGCCAGTCGAGCCGAGTTCTCCTTTGCATGGTGGGCTTGCCAGCCCGTGGCAAGTCTTACATCACCAAGATGCTGATGAGATATTTGACGTCGGGGACTCATGTGCACGCGTGTTTCATGTCTGTGTCAGAGCTTGGCCGGGTTCTTACGCGTACATGCTGCATATGGCAAGGTGGAGTGGCTTCCCCGTCAAGTCTTTCAACGCGGGCAACTTGCGCCGACAAGGAGGTGCAGCGGTCAACAACAGATTCCGGTTAGCTGCAGCCCTCACGAATGGTTCCGGGCAATTCATTCGCTTTCGACAGGCTTGTGTATCAATGTAGAACTGTGGAACACTTCATGCCTTCGGATTGTTTATGCAGCTGCCGGTGATAGGTACGGACATCTGCAAGGGCCATCAATAAACAGAAGATGCTGAATCCCGAACTCCCTGCCCTGAACCCAAAAACTTCAGCTAAACCCCTAAAAACCCTAACCCCTAAACCCTAAACCCTTAAAAACCAAAACCCTAAACCCTCAACCTTAAGACCCTAATCCCTGAACCCTAAGCCAAACCCTAAAAATAAAAACAAACCCTAAGCCCTCCACAAGCTGCTAAAATTTCCAGGGAATGCTGGGGCCTCGGCGCAGTTCTTCAGCTCCACCGAGGAGGCCACGAAGCGCCGTGAGGCGCAGCTTAGGACCGGGACTTGAAAAGCTACTATAGGGTTACTAGGCTGCTCAGAAGCATACTTGTTGACTTTTTGGGTTCCTGGGTTCCTAGTATATTACAGCTAACCTTAAGAAGTATATACTTTTTCAAGGGGGTTACTGAAGAGCCTAGGTTATAGGGTTCATAGGGTTTAGGATTATGGGCTCGGTTCTCCCGGAGTCCTAGAATCTCTAAATCTACGAGGCCCGAAGCTCCAAGCCCAAAAACTGCAGGGATTGAACCTGCCGGCTTCGAAGCCCCAAGCCCCCGCACTCCATCTTTCGGCTGGGGGGTTCGATGCTTTGCCGAAGTTTAGGCTTATAGCGGCGAGTCCGCACGAGCTTGCAAGGTCTTTGAGGGTTAGTTTATGAGGTTTCCTGGACGGGCCTCATTCCGGATTGCTGACCTCTGACCTTAGGCAACTGACACTGCTCTCCACCCAACACCCGTGCGGAGGGATTCTCCGAGGGAAGCACAGCCCAAGCTCGATTCCGAAACATGTTCCAGGCCATTGCGGATGCATGCATGGCGGAGGTCGGTTTCCGCTCTTGAGCTTGGAAGGATCTACCCATAGGCCCCTAAGTAGTTCCTTGTTGGGACTACCTTATAGGATTCTAAATATAAACCATAAAAAGGAACTACTTAGGGGCCTATGGGTATGCACTTGATCCAAGAATGGATTTGGGAAGTTTGGAAGGCAAAGCGAGAAGGCCTTGTGCCCTCACCAACTAATTATGCAACCCAAGTGCTTTCACCGCTGTGTCCCTACGTCTCAACCACGGACATTTTTCGGGATAGTTGGTGTTGAACTTGCAAGAGTTTGTTTGCATCCGATTGAGTCCTTCTTTTGGAGAGGAAAGCGAGAGAGCTGTAATAACATGTCGAAAAAAACTTGGCCGTAGCTCAGCGAAGCACAAGTTTTTCGGTTAGACCTGAATGTCGGGCACACAACCTTCCAACATCCCCTTCTTGCCTGCGGGAGCACGGAAGGCGATCGAGTGGTTACGTATGCACAAGAGTGATTCTTGGCTGCAGGGAAGCTTAAGCCTGCCCCAACGGCACGCGTCATATGCTCATGCATCCCTTGCATGCCGCACGCAACGAAGATTGCGCTGTAGATTGCATCGTGGCACATGTCTCTGACATGAAGCTTGCGAACCTTTTCAGGTATGTGTCGCCATTTTCGATGCAACGAACACGACGAAAAGGCCGACCCAGGACATTACAATCGAGGGCTTAGAGATTAGTATTATAGGGGCCTTATAATAATGAAAATAGGACTTTGGGGCCCATTATGCTATGATTATCATACGGACCCCCCCTTATTTAGGCCACTACATTTGGGTGCCCCAAATGTTGGCTGCAGCTGCCGGCGCTGAAGCCGGAGTATTCGCAGTCACCATCGGCATCAAGGGGTCCCTGCATTTCCTCATCCTCAAAAGCCTATATTTACTCTGTACTTTTAGGGAACGATGTCCCATGTCAGGTAGATCCTGAAAAGCGGGGTGATTGGGCTTACGGACAAACAGCCTGAGCCCCAAAACAGCCTGTCAGCGCTTCTAAGGACCTCCACGGCTTCGGTGTAGGGTTGAGGGGGCCCATACCTTAAACAGCGGGTAGCGCCTGAAGTAAGAAAATTAGTGGCTTTATGACACGTTTCGCGGTACATTGCATTGCCTTAGAACGTGTTGTTTGTATCTTGACTCGCCGTATTGATAGCTGCAGAACTGTTTACATCCTCAATCACAACGCCTTTCTCAGACGCCGACAACGCCTCATCGATCGATGCCGACAAGTTACGGGCATCACAGCAGCCCCTGGGTGATCAAAGGCAGTGCTTCATTCCAAAGCTCCAGCGTCGATTCATCTGGTGCTGCAGATTGGATCAGAAGCCCTTGTGAAAGATGTCATCGTGGCTCAGGTGTTTGTCGAGAGCATCTGCGACAACAAGGAGAGATGGTGCGGATGTTTTACAAGCAAAATGCCCCGATGGGGTTATCCCAGTCCATGCTGATTCTCGCAGGTGGCAAGTGATAAGGCTAGAGTCGGAACTGTTTAGTCCAGGATGCGGCACTTGCTGCCCACAGCTTATGTGACGGCGTTTTTGTTGCTTCCGTGTTGGCATGGTGTACCGAGTTATCCCCCAGTATGTTCACATGCCGTTCTCATTGGCAGAGCCCATCTCATGCTTCTGTCTTTTCCACGAAGCCGCATTTGCGCAGGAAATTCTGGAACGAAACTATTCGCTCAAGCTGGCGAACGACGACTACAGGCGTCTCTTGTGACATGAGTCTATAGTCAGTCTGTCCCAGAAGTTCCGGAGCAACCACGCATAGCTGGGTCATGCAAAGTCTTTGCTCATAGATTGTCTTATGGCTTGTGTACCTCCAGCCCTGACTAATCCACCGGGCAGCAGCAGACTTGGAGCCTTCTGTGGCTAATCATAAAGCTATCAAAGAAGATGTTACAGGCCAGGGTCCAAGTCCGCCTCTCCACACACATGTGCATACTTAGACTAGTTTGTGCACGTGTGTGCATGTTTATCCTTCGAAGAAGTGTCAATCAAACCATAAATCAATCGATTTATCGACCTATCTAGCTGTTTATCTAAATCTAACTATCTATGTATCCATCCATCTCTTTTTCTGTCTAGCTACCCATCCATCTGTCTATCTACGTGTGCGTGTGTGCGTCTTTGTGTGCGCGCATGCCTCATGCCAGCATCGTGACATGTCGACGCCGGCATGGGCACCAAGACAGTCCTCATGCATCACTGATCGGTGCAGAAGGGCACCGAAACATGTCTTGCGTGACTACCACCATGTGCCACCCAAACGTTGTCTAAGCCCGGTCAGCATCGCAGTTAGCTGTTGAAGTCTCTCTGCAGGACAATGGACCCTGCGAAGGCACGCGCAGACTTCATCCAGAGAGTCAAGGACTGCGAGCCGGCACTAATGATTTTGCATCTGCTTGTCGTGACGATTGGGGGGAGACCCCGTACGAAGACTCATGAAGAGCTGTGCAGATTTCGGATTTTTCGGGATGCTCCATTGCGACTGCACCAGACGTAAATGACCTGTCTCTGCAGCAGCTCCAGGAGTATGAGACCAGGTATCAGACAGTTGCGGACACGGAAGACGGAGGGGAGATCTGCTACATCAAGCTCTTCAATGTGGGCCAGAAGGTCCCCGAGACTTTTCCCGCCCACCTACTGCGCACGACGCGTCATGTCATGCACGATCTGGCGCATCTAACTTGTGAATCTAGTATGAATCATCACGATGACGTCGTCTCTTGCTGGGTCACTATGTGGTAATACGACCGGAGCCTGCTAGGTGGAGATGCACCACTGCTCTGGATACTTGATGAGCCAGACCTTGGGCTGCGAAAGGGGAGAGACTGAGGGCTGCCACGAAAATGCAAAGGGGTTCGCTGTGACCATTAGCAGCTGATTTGGAGCGTCTGCGATTCTTGAGCGGTGCAGTACAGCCTCAGCATACCACTCGCACAACTGTTTTTTGTCTTTTTTTTACGTTGGAAGTTGGAATGATACAGTTCTGGTGCGATTCCGGTTATTACTATTGCCAATTGCTACTGCTACGACGACAGAACTACAGTTTTGAGGTGATAGCAACCATTGCGACTCGACGTCAACCGTGAGTACCACAACAGAAACCACACGAACAGGAGCAGTATTATAGCGAGCATGTATCATCTCCAAAGTAAGGCCCAGCAAACATACACAACAGCTGCAATATAGACAACAGCAGCACCACCAGCAGCAACAGCAGCCACGACAGCGACCATGACGACCACAACCAACAATAACAACGGCAGCGGCGACAGCAAATGCAGTAATCGCAGCGAAAGCAACGACCATAACAGGTACCAGTACGAGTCCTGCTAGCAGATGATAACAGGATATTTAAGAGTGATCGTGCTGCCACAGAGCCACTACCACTCCTCCTCCTCCTCCTCCTCCTCCTACGCCTCCAACTACTCCTCCTGCTCTTTCGAATCCTCCTTCTGCTCTTACTGCTACTACTGACACTACTCCTACTCGTGCTGCTACTCCCACGGCCACTCCTGCTGCTGCTGCTGCTGCTGTTTCTGCTGCTACTGTGCTCCCGCTCCTGCGGCTGCTGGTGTTGCTGCTGCTATTGCTAATGCTACTGCCACCGCTACTACCACAGAAAGGCTCCTGCTACTACTAATGGTACTTACTGCTGCGGCTAGCACTGCTACTACGACGACGACGACGACTACTACTACTTCTTCTTCCTGCTACCCTAAAACTACCACTACCACTACCACGACGACGACGACGACTACTACTACTGCTACTACTACTACTACTACTACTGCTATTACTACTGCTGCTACTACTACGACGACGACTGCCACTGCTATACTGATAGCAAGGAAGGCGACAGCCAAATCAAACAAGAGTAACAACCCTACCTGTTGTCATTGCTGTAGCTGTTGCTACGGCTAGTAGCCGCGAAGGTTCAGTAGCACAGCCACGGCTGCTACGACAACCATCACTTCATGATCGCATCGACACATCCCCAGGATCGGCTTCTTCCTGTCGAACATCCACATCAGTCCACGCTGCATCTGGTTAACACGCCACGCAGAGAGTGAAGATCAACTGTCAGGCGAAGCATTGCGGATACGCTGGTAATCTGTCTTCGGCCCCGACGTACCTGAATTTATAGCAGCCTATGGATCGTACAAACTTTGGTCGACCCAACCCCTTCAATGCCCGGGTCTTTAAGAGGTCGCGAAGTAGATGAGCGTCGCACGATGTCGGCTTGTATTTTGGGTTGCAGGGGATTGCCAGCAAGGCCCGCGGAGATTCTCGTGATCTTTTGTTGTTGTGGTGGTTGTGGTTGTGGTTGTGGTTGTGGTTGTGGTTTTGGTTGTGGTTGTGGTTGTGGTTGTGGTTGTGGTTGTTGTTGTGGTTGTTGTTGTTGTTGTTGTGTTGGTTTCCAGCTGCCTGCGCTCGTGGTAGACCGTGTGCAGCCTGAAGCTTTATACACCTCCAAACCCTTTGTTCCCGCTAGGATTCACGTGGTTGCTGCCATTTGATATAAAAATGGTGATGATGTTGGCCTAGGTCTACACTTTCTCGTGCTAGCAGCTAGCGGTGTACAGCCACATGCATAAGGTCTCCTCGCTATAGCCCCTCACTCCTCAACCCGTAAACTCTCAGACATCAGCCCCACAGCGGAACGAATAATGTTGATCCTTTAAGATGCTCGGTAGTCACCAAGTGCAGCTTCAAAGAATGGATGTAGGGTTGCGCTGTTCCGTGTCCTCCCGGGCGTGAGATTGCACCGTCTTAGGTAACGTTCATAGAGTTCACAAGAGTAACTGCTGCTCATCGGGTCTATGGAGCGGCGGAGTCTTCTGTGGTTTTGCCGAAACATCCTCGCCCTAAACCCTAAACCCTAAATCTGTAATATCCTATATCCCGAGAAGTCTTCGCAGGCATCCTCGGAAGCCATCGCGGAGAACTCACGAAAAATGGTCGCAACTACTGCAGCCGCATGCCTGGATTTAGGGGTTTAAGGGTTTAGGGTTTAGGGGATAGCACTTTAGGGCATCGGGTTCTTATCTGGCTTGTGTAGGAGGCCATATTTGGCGGTCGAGTTATAGTACCTACCTCCGGTTCTTGGCCGTCTTGAGCTCTGTATTTTTTGTTTGGAAGTTTATGGGTCCAAGAGCACTCTAAAGCTGATCCGGTCCTAGACGCTGAGACTGCGAGGCCTCCAGAATCAGATCACCCCTAAACTCCGAACCCCCCCAAAAAAATCTCTCAGAATCAGATCCTTTGAAGCCCAAAACGTCTCTAAAGGCCTCTAATTGTCAGATCAGAGTAATAGTGCCTATAACTATGCCCCGTCGCAACCGAAGGGGAACTTGTAGGAACTAGGCTGGGAATTCGCTTCTGGTTTGTCGATCGTTTTCGGGTTTAGATGTCAGGTCGTGAACATTTCCCCCAGGCAGTCTGCTAGTTATCGAAGGGGGCTGTGTACTATTTAGGTTTCATCGCCCCAGTTCTCGCAGGTCCATGCTACTCTCGTTTTTCAGTTGCTGGAAGCTTACTTAAACAGCTTCGAAAATGCGACAACCCCGCCCGTTTCTGTACTCCGGCGAATTGCAACTTTGTGCAGGAGAGTTGTCAGCATTCTTGCGCAAATGCCGCCGTGAGATGGAAGAGGCTGGCTGTCGATGACTTGCCGAGTAGCTATCAGACAGCTATCATATTCGCATGGCGTCCTTCAGGCATATGGGAACTTGAAGGATATTGGATCCCGGATATGGTAACTATCCTCAGAAGTCTTGTATCGGTCATGTCGAAGCGCACGAGACGCTGCAACCTACACCCACCATCCGCCGTTGGTCGCCATCTGAGATGCAACGGGAAGCCGTGTCAGAAGGTGTATCGGAGGCCCCATCTTCTATCTCATAGATAGTCTCCCCTAGGCTCACCAAAGTGTAGGCATCTTCGAAGATGGTCCGAAATGGAAGTTTTGAGAGTCTTTGCCTTCCTCCAGGCTGGACAGGTGGAGACCAGTGGTGACATCTTGGTGCTAATGGGCACTGCTCCTGTCCACTACTCCACGCTGCTCCATGACCTTGTTTGAGTTGTGGCAGTCCCGGGACCCAGGCTTTCATTCGATGAGTGTTATCTCGTGCCTCGAGATGTCGAGATTCTGGGATTCTTCAGCTTAAGGATACGAAGCCAGTCATGGATCTCAGACAGTTTCTCATCTCGCCCATGCCGACCTTGCACCGGTTGTCATGCAATCCTCACGTCCGGCAGTAAGCCTCAACACCCGAACCCTTAGTCGAACCTTCGAGGGTTCTCTCTTAAGGCAGGCGATGATGATGCGAGGCTCGAGCCCGAACCTGACGTCCGACCTCAACGGGGAGTTCACGCCAGGAGCAGAGAGCCCCTGATTTGCTTTGTGACGATTGTGATGCTTTTTTGTGTCCTTTGACGGACAGCTGCTCCATTTGGGGCTTTCTTTTTTCAGGCGCGGGCTTTTAGGGTTTGGGCGTTTGGGGTTGTGTTTGTATTGTAGGTCGTTTGGGTTTAAGGTTGAAGGCCTCGGTGGCTGTTGGAGGCTTTAGGGATCTGGAGGGTTTTTGGTTTAGGGCTGAGGGCATGTGAATTCGATTGCGAGATGGCTTGTACTGCGGTTCCTCCGCAGGAGCAGGCTAGAGCACTGGTGAATTTGCATGAAGCGGGGGGCCGGATGCTTACCAAACTAAAGCATCGGTAGTATAGTCGTCACCGTCCTAGTGCTAGTGCAAAATGATGGGGAACTGAGTAGAAGCGGTAGCCACAGCGTTAGTCCCACTACAGATTATTGTCAGTAGCAGCGGTCAATTGGACAAACGTGGCAAAAAACGCAGTTTTATTTTCGTACTGGAGCCGGTTGACATGGAAAGTGTCAGCCGCGAATGCATATCCAACCATTCTTCCGGACTCGACGCCCAAACTTTTCAAAGCTCGTTCCATGCTCATGCTACATAGTCCAACTGCCAGTATCTTGCTGGTTTAGGCCCTGCTTTGAAACGCTCAAGTGCGCTTTTTGCCGCCTTTTCTTCAAACAGTCCGATCCAGAAGCCAAGTCTCAACTCCGCACTCGGTTACTGCGTTTTAAGTTATAACCCTAACCTCCCAGGTACCTACTATATAGGGCCCTAGGGGCTCTAGTACCCTATATAGTAGGTATTTGGGGAGGTTAGGGTAAGCTTCTACGGATATCTGATTGCAAGTATACATAATGCCCCATCCGCACAGCACTGCTGAACCCTAAGCTTTTAAGCCTAGCCCTATAAGCCCCGGACTGAACCCACTGGCAACGGCAATAGCCCTGACCCGAAGGATCCATTCCAAATGAAAGCCCGTACGCTCCGCAGCCCTGAGCTTGAGTTCTAATAAATAGGTGTGTGCGTGTGTACATGTATGTATATCTATCTGTCTGTCTATCTATCCATATAATATCCTGAGTTGTTGGCGCACATATCCCCTTGTCCCTTGTATTCCGGTATGCGGACTGCACCGCTGTGGAGGAGGTGCCCTGCACTGCAAAGGCTTCCAGGCTGGCCCGCTCGATTTTTTCTCGTAATTGTCGCCCTTAGCCGCCGATGCCCCTTCTCATTATTGAAGCCTGTTTACTCGAGAATTCAAGGTTTGGGGCTACTTAAAATCTCTTTATTCATTCAACGCTTTACAATCAAGACGCAGCGGAAATACTTGGACTGGATGTAAACAGCTTCAAAGGCCCGGACACATTTGCGCGTGGTTTAGGGCGAATGGATCATAGCATGTTCGGGGCTTCTGGAAAGCAATCTCCTCGACTTAAAAAAATATTTAGTCTAATAAGTTACTCAGTAATCTTGGGTGAAGTGTGTCGAAACCTCAGCGCAGGCTATGAGCACTTCCCTTTTGAATGAGCTGGATGGCGGTGTTTGCAACGGCCTAAGCTATGCAGAGATGCCTGGCTTAAAAAGGGACTCAGCCGCCGAGTTTCTGTTCTGTGACGAAGAGACTGCCACTGTATTGACACAAACTCGATTTCATGACCGGTACCCTCAGCCCGCTCAGATGTGAGTCTGTGAACGCGGACTCTGCAAGTTGCAGCCCTCCTGCCAGCAAGCATGCCTGAAGCTGTGAAGCCTGCAGCATGAAGCCAGAACCGGATGTAGGATCCGCTTGAAATTGCCGGGTTTCGACCCGGAGGCCAGAGGCTGTAGAAGCTCTGCACCTGGAAGCTTCGCTTGAAACCATTGCACCGAGGATACAGCAAGACTACCCAGATCTCTGGGGTGCCCGGGAACGAGACAAGCTCAACTTCCGCTATCCAAACGGCGAATCGTACAAGGCCTTGCTGTGTTTTGCTTCTGCTCTTATTGTGTTGTGCTGTTCTTTTGTCTGTGATGGTCTGCCATCATCATTGTCGTCATGTCCTGCAGCAAGCAAGCAAGCCCCTGTGCTTTTTACGTATTGACGTATTGTTAAATATGTACTATCCTACACCCCCTGGACATGAGTGACCGGCCACTGGGAGGGCCGGCCCATGTGTCAAACCTCTAAGCACTGTATCTCATCCAGAAGTGTTTGCTAGCAGACCTGTGCTTTGAAGATGTCCTCTATGCACCACACTGACAATCGGACATCGCTGCCACATGAACACCAATCCTGTACATGCTCGAGCTTGTCAGTGGTACTAGTACTTACAATCACCCGCACAACAACATCGCGCCAACAACCACCATCTTGCTCCGTTGTGGTGGCAGCCGTAGTAGTCGTGGTAGCAGTACGTCGTAGTAGTGGTAGTGGTAGTGGCAGTGGTGGTGGTAGTGGTAGGGGTAGTGGTGGTAGTAGTAGTAGCAGCAGTAGTAGCAGCCGTCGTCGTAGTAATACTAGTAGTAGTAGTAGTAGTAGTAGCAGCAGCAGTAGTAGTAGTAGTAGTAGTAGCAGTAGTAGTAGTAGTAGTAGTAGTAGTAGCACTAGCAGTAGCAGTAGCAGTAGCAGTAGTAGCAGCAGTAGTAGTAGCAGCAGTCGTCGTCGTGGT